CAATAACATTCTACCATTCTAACAAATAAATATCAATATGAATATCAATAGATTTAGGAGCGATAACTTTTGTTGTTAATTTAAAAACAATAAACGATTATAAACCAAGTGCTAACCACCTATTGGTATTATAGGAACTGTTATTCAGGAATACGGATTACAAGATCCCATTGGTTTAATGGCTCACCCATTCGTGCTATGCTAGCGTTTTTTCTGTGTATTTAAATTAGAAAATATTGCTTCGCCATGATGAAATAATTTTAATATAAAATACGAATATATAATATTTAATTTCTAAAAATTTGGTTTTTACGAGCATGTTAATGCTAGAGAATATTTTTTCGATAAGAGATGGCTTAAAAAACGGAATGTAGATCGGGTAAGTAATTTAGCCAAAGCCTTTAAAATTGTTTAAGTTAAGCGAATTTCAGTGGGCATCATATGTTTTGTGTGTCGGCAATCAACTTTTATCATTAAAGTGGTATTGGTTTTTGACTTTTGCATCCGAAAGTTATTGGTTGACAAAAGATAATAATTTTCTTATTAAGTTTTTAAAATAAATAATGGTCTATGCTTGTGATTCAAAAGGCAACAATATACCGAACAAATATTTTATTAAAGCAATATGGAATTTATAAAGTACAACAATAAAGTAAAAAGGTATATCTATAAGTACCTACAAATTGTCAGCTAAAATGTGTTTACGACAAAAGCACACTACCTCCTTAAAACCTATTGCAGGTTTTATGACAGCTGTAAGGTAGGTTTTATGGCTGCTGTAAGGAGTGCCTTAGGAGTAACACAATAAAGCAAAGTGGCTTTGTGGTTGACACACAAATTGCTCCTAAGGACAACGATAGGATTCTCCTTTTTAGCCATATGATGGTTTTATCGAAACTGTATAGCTGCTGTTAAAGCAAATAGGTTTTAATTAAGCAATTGCATTGATGCAAATCACCCTTAAGAGTAGTTTTATGAAGCCCTTGTATACCTTAAAAAAACCTATTTAGCTACTTGGGGTAGCTAATCCTACGAATCGCCATTAAACCTTGTTTTTAAGGTTCTTCATTTATTGTTCTTCTCCATGTATTATTTGGCCTGCCTGTTCTTCTTTTTCCTGGTATCTTATAGTTGAGTGCTTGTCTTGCTATACTTTTGTTATTTTTTCTTAGTGTGTGTCCTATCCATTTCCATCTACTTTTCCTAATTGTTCTCTTCACTTTTCCTTCTTCTGGAGTTTTTTGATTCAAGATATAGTTAAAGCTAATCCTGACGAATTTGACATGAAAGTAATATTTCAACAAGATGGAGCGCCCGCACATTATTTTAGGAACAGTGGCTTGATGAGACTTATCCAAATGGTCCATCCATTAGTAGGCATGGTCTTACCGAATGGCGGGCTCGTTCTCCTGATTTAACGCCACTTGATTTTTTATGAGTTATTTAAAATCGAAGATCTACACCACCAAACCGGAATCAATTGATGATCTTAAACAACGGATTGGACGTAAATGTGTGAATATTACAAGAAACGTTTTCAAATGAGAGAAATGAAGTTAGAAACAGACTATTTTTGTTTCAAAATTTCCAAGGGGAGCATTCGGAACATCTAATTTGATGAACAATTGAAAATGTATTGTAATTAATAAATGAAAACCTTGTAGGTACATAAATGAAAACAAAAATTTAATTTGATAATTAATTTGTTCATTTAACATTTTTAAGTTGGTACTGCCCTCTTTGCACTACTTAAATAGGCACATATTAATTTGACGTCAAAAAATAGGATACTTAATATCCTTGACAATGGTTTCTACCCGATGTCGTTTCTTTTTTTTACGAAAGGGGGACTTTTAACGTGCGCACTCTGTATGAAAAAAAACCGCAATATTTATTCATTCATTCACTGATTTGTATGGAAATAAAAAAAATTAATGGCAACAACCTGTTTGCTTGTTAATCCCAGTGGACTTTGACACACGAACAACTTAAATAAAGATGATAAAAAAGAGGTGTCGCGGCCGCCTCAAAAGAAAAACAACAAAAGAACAAAAGAGGGTCCCGTTCAGGGAACCGAGCTGTTTTTTTTTTGGTCGACACACTCGTGACGCGTGACCGACTGCTTTTGTTTTGGGTGTTTAATTTTTTGTTCGATAATCTATGTAATATGCAATTTTGTAAGCATTTTGTTAATTTCGAAGGTTACAGATTATTTTGTTAATGTTTAACAAATTATTTCGTTGAAAAAGTACACGCAGTCAATCAAAACATTTCCCTCTGACAATTATTATACCCATCAACAAGTTCAACTGACTTCAGCATCTGCAACTTATGTTTCTGCTTACTTTATTCTAATTTGTAACGTGTTCGTAACAATTTTCCAGAGTGAAAAAAGATGCCTTCACTGATTTTCAAACTGATATTAGGGGATACAGTGAAGTTGGTTAAAGTTACAAAATACATAAGTAAGTGTTATACCAAATTTCAATTTTTTTTTTGGTTTTTGTTTAGGAATTTGAATAATAAAGCAACATTTCTTATCAAAATACTTTACATTTAAGTTCACAATTTTCAACAAATACTTTTGTTACTGGGTTTACAAAAAGGTTTGTAAAAATAAGGTTCTTTTTGAAAAGTACAATAATTATGGTTGAATTATTGACATAGGATTTTGTAATTAAATCTACAAAATGTTTGTTATAATTACAAACTACTTATTCAATTAGTTAACAGTTGGTTGTAAACTTAACATAAAGTTATGTGCATCTAGATTAACAGAAAATCTTGTTAATATGTGTTTAAAATTAACAAATATTTTTATTGTGTATTGTGAACAATACTTTTAAATTTATTTTTTTATAAGTTACTCGTTATGTTTTAGACATCAGCAAAAGTTAGTTGTTCGTTGTTTGTATTTAACCAACCTTATAATTCTGTTTTTGTTCGTTCAAAACATAATTTTTTACACACGATTCGAAACAACAATGTATTGCATTGTTATTCCCAAAAATATCGTTCAAAATATAAAAAACACTGACAATCATTCGTTTAAATTCCGCCGATGACCATGACTGAAACATTTCAGAAACTCAGAACCACCCTTTGTTCTTACCGGTTTTCTTTTTGGTAAAAAACACGGCATACTTAAAGGGGTCGCGAAAATTTAGGGGAACTTCTATTAATCGAACACGTGGAGAAAAGCGCGCGTCAACTTCTCCTTTTGTTTCATTTTTTTTGTGGCGGGTGAATTTGGAAATGCAAATTTTGTGCACGTATGTCTAGTTATTTTTAGGAGGGATAGGGTAAGACAAGAGATGGGTGGTAACTATAAGTAGGGTGGAAATACAGGTTTTACTTTTAGCTATTTGCGTGCCATGATGTCTATTTTTGTCCAAATGTATTATTTCAAATAATTTCTTATAAAAGAGTTGAGTGTTGGCTGCAACCGACTTGCTGATATGAATTTTAAATATGGCCCTAATTTTCAATGCAAAATACATTATCAAATATAATTTTTTTGTATACACTTATATAATTGTCCTATAAATTTTTGTCAACATTCACAACACAGTTTAGCAATAATAGAAAATAACATCCCGTGTGGTCTTAGCAACTTAAATAATTGTTCATTTTAACCAAATATTAACCAGATTATATGTTAATCCTGGTCCACATAACTGTATGTTAAGTTTACAACCAACTGTAATCTGTCAACTAATTGAATAAGTAGTTTATAATTACAACAAACATTTTGTAGATTTAATAACAAAATCCTATCAATAATTCAACCATAATTCTTGTAATATAAAAAAGGTCCTTATATTTACGAACCTTTTTGAAGACCCAGTAACAAAAGTATTTGTTGGGAATCGCGAACTTAAATGAGAAGAACTTTGATTAGAAATGTTGCTTTATTAATCAATTTTCTAAACAAAAAAAATTAACATATACCTACCTATAAATTAACACAAAAATAACATTCACACAATTAAATAACACCATTCTGAAATCATCAAATTATAAAGAAATTTGGTGCAATATAATTATCAGTACTACTACAACAATTACTGATATATTTCCTAACTTTAACCCACTTCACTGTATCCCCTAATTTTAGTTTGAAAACCAGTGATGGCATCTTTTTTCGGATACTTAGCACTTCGCACACTCGTTAAATAGGTATAACGAACCCGAATAACAATTATAACAGATTTCTGGTAATATATTTTATTTATTTTGCGTTCATAATGACTTCATTGTAACACCGCTTTTGGTGCTGTAATGAGGTACTTTACCCCACCCAACATTTGATTTTATATACAAAAAAGTGCTCTTTTAGTTCCACCCTTACTTCCTAAGAAGTCCCAGAAGCCAACTGAATGGCTTGAGCGGGTTAGGGGTAGGAACGGACCGCGGGCTTAAAGTTTCCTCCGAAGGACTATTACACAATAGGACAATCACAAATAAACAGCCATACTCCTGGTGGGATTCGAACCCACGACCTCTCGGCTTGTAGTCAGCAGCATTAAACACTAGTCCACCGTCGGTGGTTGGCTACTTTAAACAGCATACTAGTAAAAAAATATTTTGCATATTGGTTATAATATTTTTATGACTTTTCTAGTACTTACGAGAATTTTCTGGCAATAAATTTTGTTAAACGCCAAAGAAAATTCGTCTTTAACATTAACAGCCGCTTATTGTAAACATTGACCCTTTAAACCAATGACTGTGATACCAACTATCTAAAGTAAAATTCGACCAAATTAAATAATATATAAATTAGCATAAAAAACTCATGTCATAAGACCTTTTGTCGCACTCGTCCATTAACAAAATGACGTCCTATGGCATTAGTTCTTTAATATACTATTAAACACTCTATAGAGTGTTTATAGACAGTTGTTACGAATTAGAATAAAGTAAGCAGGTTTATCAATCTCAAAGTTGATCCGGGGACACACTGTATGAATATAATATTATAAATAAAATTCCACTGGACAAAAAATTATAAAATGTTTTATTTACAAAAAATGACCCGTCTCCTGTATTTACAGTGAATTAGTTTATTAGTTTTGTGTTTATTGATTTGAAAATATGTTTGGAAGAAAAGTAAGTCAATATTATTTGATATTTATTTACTCATGATAATATATTATATTAAATAAAAATTATAAACCACCTGTTACAAGCTACATTTAAAGACACACAATTTGTTAATGTAAAAAAGTTGGGTTAAATAAGTGTGTAATACAGTGTATCGCATTTAAGATGAAGACACCCCCATATTTTCGCTATTTCAAGGAATAGAGATTTAAATTTTTGCACATTCATACATGTTGGTGGGTCACATTTTTTAAGATACTCAACTGAAATCTGAACTTTAAACTTGGCCTACTACGAATTCACAAACGGGGCCAGTTGTCGATATTTTGCTTCGCGTTAGAAATATCGAAAAAAATTATTGGAAAAAGTTGTTCAGAATATTATTCTAACCTCGTATACCGATTTTCATAGCAAAATTCGCATTTCTAATTTATTTATTTTTATTAGTTTTATTATTGTTTTATATCATTTCCTTAATTTAATAAATTATAATTGATTTGTAATTTCCAAAAATTGTTTTAATTATTTATTTAACGGTCATAAACACTAGTTAGTATCAAATTATTACTTTCTCCCTTATTATCAAACTAAAAAATGAACTTGTAATAATTATGTGTGGACCAAAATAAAAAAAAAATTAAAAATGCGCATTTTGTTATAAAAATTGGTATATGGGGTTAGAATAATATTCTGAACAACTTTTTCCAATAACTTTTTTCGATATCTCTAACGCGAAGCAAAATATCGAGAACTGGCCCTGTTTGTGAATTTGTAGTAGGCCAAGTTTAAAGTTCAGATTTCAGTTGAGTAGCTTAAAAAATGTGACCCATCAACATTAGGGTGGTCCAAAAAAGTGAAGTTGATTTTACAGATTGTCTCACCCCCCAATTTTTTTACCTCCAACATCAATAAAAAATTCCCAAAATTTTAGGCCCCTAGGTGTATTAGAAGGGAGTGCTCATTAGCTAAGAGATTTCAGTTTTTTTTAATTTATTAAAAAAACCATTACGCCATCTTTTCACTGGTTAGATAAAATGTTATGCCCTATATATTAATGTTACAATTACCAAAGAATATTATTTACCTAAACATATATTTCTTACACACTAGTTCAATCAGCTAATCCCGCACCTTTCCCTAAGAAACTAAAAACTACACTTTACAGTTTAAATGTCATAAGTGCTTTGGATAGGGAAAATGTCTCAGACCGTGAAGTTCTAAGGCTTGTAGTACCGATTGCGATAGCACTGGGAAAAGATCCGCATGAAATGCCGTCTCGCAGCACTATTTGCCGGAGACGAAAACATGAAAGGAAGAAAAGATATGAAACAAAGTTTTTCTTGTCAAGGTTTAGTTTTTGTTCATTGGGATGGTAAAATTACCACTGCTTAACTAAAGTAGAACGTTTACCAGTACTAGTTTCAGCAGATGGAAATGAAAAGTTATTAGGAGTACAGCAAATGAAGTCGGAAACGTACTTCGAGAATCTGGTGGATAAAGTATAAGCAATGTGTTTTGACACAAAATCTGTAAATACTGGAATGAAGAATGGATGCTGCGTTTTGCTTGAGAAAAAATTGGCAGATACTTACTTTGGTTAGTCTGCAGTCATCATGTTTTGGAAATAATTCTTAGTAAGGTTTTCAAGTTGTGCTGCTTTCCGGATATTCCAATTTTTAATCGATTTAAAATAATTTGGGTACCTATTGATCGTATCTGCTTCAAGTCCTCAGACCTAGAATCGTCGAAGAATTTTGAATTTTACAAAAACTCCACAATCCCCTTGTTGCTAGCTGCATTGAAACAAAAGTCTCAACGTTATGACGACTACTTGGAACTGATCGAGTTGGCTTTGGTCGTTTTGGTGAAATCTGGATCAAGGCACCGTGTGCCACTAAAGCTACTATGTCCGACCTAACTTTTTGGAAAGATTTAGAACGCTATGAGGAGATTGGGAAAAGCGAGGTTGCTAGAGATACTCTGAAATATCATCTTTGGTACTTATCCATTGAACTCGTAATAAAATTAATACCAATAATAATAATAATCATAATATTAATATGGCCTTTGTCTACGCAATAAATTATTTCTTACATATATTTTTTCAAGGTCGACTGTGTGTTGTAAAACTTCGAGTTGTAAATGATATAGCGGAAAGATGGGTAAAACTATTTGAAGAGCATAATCAATTATAAAAAATGAGGACGAAAAGCAAGACTTGTTAAAAATCGTAGAAGCGAATCGGAAATCTGTTCCGACAGAAACCACAAAAAAAGCTGCAATTTATGCTACTAAGAGTTCTGGACCATGATTTTCATGTGGATATATTGTCTTTAGATTCATTCTATCATAGCTGTGAGCACTCCCTTCTAATTAAGCTAGATGGTTCAAATTTTCTAAAATAACTTTTTTTACTTTATATAAAAAAATTAGAGGGTGAGAATAAGTCTATTTACAACTTCACTTTTTTAATTCGTTTCTGGACCACCCTAATCAACATGTATGAATGTGAAAAAATTCAAACCTTTATTCCTTCAAATAGCGAAAATATGGGGGTGTCTTCATCTTAAGTGCGACACACTGTATAATAAATATAAATATATACAAATTCGAATATTTTGAAACAATGTATTACTTAATAATATATATCCAGAAACCGAATAAACAAAATTTTATTTTTAGGCTATAAAAAGTTCTTCAGATCGATTCATTCCAACCAGAGCTCACATGAATTTGGAGATTTCCAACTACAAGTTAAAAAATTCTGATCCAGGAACAGAAAGTTCGGAAACGTGGCCGGAAGACAACACGTACTTTAATTTGAAAAAACATAACTACAACATCACCAAATATAGACAACAGTAAGTGTAAGTAACCAATACAAAAAAATATTGCAACATATTTTTGTTGTTTCAGTCTATGTTTGGCCCTTACGTTAAACCAAGAAAAAATTCTAAATTTCTCTTCGCCACACTGCAAAAAAATGGGGAAAGTCTGTCAAAATGACAAATTATGGCCAGTGTATCCCAGGAAAAAGCCCTTAATGGAACAACCTCAGCTGGTTTTGGACATGCCAGAATTGGACGTATATTTAAGTAAATTATACAGGCTGATTTTGCGAAACCCCAGAACCCCAGAATGCATTTTTGACATATGTTTATAACAACTTTTTCTTTTATTTTTACGTGTAGAATAACCCCCCGAAATTTATTATATTATTATATTTATTCTATGTATGCCTTACATTTTATCAATTCAATCACTCTGCTCTTGAAGCTTTCCGATGTCCTCCTTGATATCCAGACCTCAGTTTGTTTGATTTGTATGTAAAAGTATTTAATAAATAATTCTTTGTAGGTTCCCATGTAGTAGATTGGAGCAGCACAGGTTACGTGGCCACCATTTATAATAAGGAAGTTCATTTGTGGCATCCAGAAAAAATGTTGAGGAGGCAAAAAACTGTAACAAACAAACAAGTGAAAAAAAGCGTGAGATGGAATAAAAATGGAAGATATTTTGCTGTGGCCATTGGAAAATCAAAATGTTTGATTGTTGATGCACAAGACCTCAAAGTAAGATTAATATACACCAAATAAGTTGTCATACTTTAAGGAAATGATAGTACACGCCAAAATAGGAAAGTTTTTCCTCTATCATTTTTGCATTAGCGCCATTTTTTTAATAAAAAAATCATTTAAATATTTATTTAAGTTTGGGGCCGCCACTGGTTGTTCTTGACCAATGACTACCGACGCAAAATATGCTTGCACAATGTTTTCATTGATTACTTTGTCGATAATAATTATAAAAAACAATTATTGTTTTTTGTTTTGCATACTCAGCTATTTTTAGCTACTTTGAATAAAACCATACTTACTTTTTATTGTTAGGTATCTCGAGGTTTCCGTGGTTTCCCACGCTTGATGCTCATGTAGCTATTTTTTAAGTGTTCCACAAAATCATAATATCTAAATGTTCCACTATCCCGCCGTTATTATCCACACAAAGTTGAAAGCGGCGTAGAAAATTATGATGTGTCGCTCTTGCTATCATATCCGGATATTTTCGGATTTCATCTGCAGCTGCAGTGACAAGTTCGCGGAGTTGTTCCAATTTGTCAACTTCGCTCTGGTACACTAAACTGTTCATGTAGCTCCAGAGAAACCACAATAACAACTGAACTGTCAGTAATCAATGATAACAAAGTACCTACTAACCGATTTTGAATAAGTTTAAAAGTTTGCATGATATAACATAATTCACTGTGCGCATACCTGTTTCTTTTTTGCTTGGATGAATAATATCCTTGTTTTTAGAGGTAAAAACAATGATGATCTATAGGATAGGTCAGTGACATCCATGTTTTGTCAAAAAAATTTCATAATTTTTTTATTAAAAGTGCTATCATCCCCCCAAAGGATGACAATTTATTAGGTGTAAAAAAAGATAAAAATCATAAGGTTGTGCATTTTTTTTGTTGCTTTAAAACATTTTTTAGAACACGTTCGAAATTTTGTGCCTTTGCTCCTTTGAATACAAAACCTGCGAACTGAGGCATATAGATATTTCCCACAACGATACAATAGTGTTTGGATGTTCTTTAGGAAGGATATCTTTGTATCGTTCATTTTCCAATGATTTTCATTTTAATTCGCAAAGCAGGGTTGCCGCCTTCGTATCGGAAAATCTTGGAAATAGCGTGGTCAGTGTGGAGTTGTCATGTAACGATAAGTTTTTGGCAGTCAGTCTAATGGATGGGCACATCGTTGTAATGACGTTCCCCCAGTTGCAGACAGTAGCGTATTACTCCAACGATAGGCCAATTAAGGTGAGTAAAAATATATATAGGTTGGTTTTACATATTTGTTACCGAAATGACGATTTTTTCTCTTTAATACCAAAAAATGACCTGAATGTCAAAATGCATTTCGTTGTTGGTGCTGGAAGGCATGAGTGAAATATGACAGCAAAAAATTAATAAGAATTATGATACTGAATTTGCTCAATCCTTGGATGATTTAAAGAAAAAAAAGTTCATATTAACTTAGGTCCGCAATTATTGAATTGAAAATATACTTTTTTTAAACTTTTTTTCCAATATTTCGGTTGATTAATTATTTTTAGAGCTTGTGTTGGCATCCATGGAAAGAAAACTTACTAGTGGTCTGTTCAAAAAAGTCTCTAATTTTGTTCAACATAAACACCATGAGCAAAGTCGCTGAAAAACCTTTTCAACACCCAAATACAATAGTTGACAGCATGGCGTTTAATCCAATTTCCGGAGAGTTAGTAGTAAGTTCAGTAAGAATTTATATTTTTAAATTAAGATGTTTTGGCCACTGAGATGATAAGATTTAACCCCTATTGACTTCTTCTGAGTAACCAACGTCTTCTGAAGTTTTTTCAAAAACTATTAAATCTTTTAAAGAATGTCATGTCATTTTAGTAAATATATTTAATTTGATTTAAGGTATCCTATTTCATTTATCAACAAGATCATAGTAAATGCACCTTAAGAGTTTTGAAAAATTTCGATAAAGTCGTGGACGAAATTATGGTTGGAGTGGAAAGGGTGCCTTATTTATTATGGGACAGTACTGGAACCCAGCTTGGTAAGAATTAGTTTAGTTTTTCCCCATTTGTGGGTTGCATGCTCTGGTTCATATAATTTGTTTTATACAGCCTGTTCAGAATAAAACCGAATATATCTATATATATATATGGGGCGTGGCCTCGCCTCCCTCCAAGGCGCGTCACAGTTGCTTGTGTGATAAACGACATGACGAAAGGTCGAGCAGGTAAGGACTTAAAAAATTAAATGATAATAATGCAAAAAATCTCATTAGCGATGCAGTCTATTTGCTTAGCTACTGTGTCGCGCGTTGGAGGGAGGCGAGGCCACGCCCCATATATATATAGATATATTCGGTTTTAGTCTGAACAAGCTGTATATTGTTTTCGTAATATGATAAAGAACCCTATATAATGAATCATCATTGATGATTCAGCATATTGACATGGATTACTTTATTCAGAACGACTTTACTGAAACTGATAAAAGTGGTGAAAAAAAACTCTCTTAGAACCAAAATTACATATTTTTTCCTTTGCTAAATACGATTTCCAAAGGTTTTTGTCGCGCTGTATTATAATCGCTCCATCAGGTATCTAAGACCTACTCTTTGATAGAGGAATTACATTTCAGCAAGTCAAGAACTGAAACATTTGGATTCTGTTTGAAAATTTTGTAGACCTGTATACATTTTTTGTAGCTAGCGGCAGTGCGGAAGAGAATCTCTGCATTTGGAACTTCTTTGGCACCAAAGACGAACGTACCAATATTTTAAAAATAGGAAAAGCTTCCAAAAAAAATTTAACTATAAATCCCAAGAAGACTGTTTTTATGTTATCCAAACCCATTAGATAAACCACAAAACATTTAATCAGTCAATTTTTGTACATGTTTGTATATTGTAAATAATTTTATCACCCATCTGTAAGTATTTAGAAATTTTAGTGTTTTAGCACCTATTTTGTTATTTCTTTGTTTGAAATATATTTACTAAACTAATTTAACAAAAAAAAAACAACAAAAACGTGTTTTATTTTAATAATTCAAACTTGCTTATGTTGGGTTGGCAAAACATAATTTATAAATTTACAAACTAAAACCTATTTAAGTTTCAATGGGACTTTTATTAGTTCTTTGTCCAGCTAATAACGTATCTCGATCCTATTAATCTTAAAATATTAAAATCTCCCTTGCATACGGTACGCAAACCTGTATTTTCACCCTAGTTAAAGTTCCAACCCATCTCTTTTCTTACCCCATCTCTCTTAAAAATAACTGCACAATTTGCATTTCGAAAAATTCACCCCCCCATCCGAAGAGAAAGTTATCGCGCGCTTTTCTTCACGTGTTCAATTAATAGAAGGTCACCCTAAATTTTAAGTATGTTGTGTTTTTTACCAGAAGGAAACCGGTGGGAACAAAGGGAGGTTCCAAATAGTTTTTGATCTTGCTGGTGGTTTGTTTTAACTGAATTTTGTTGATTTTGCCATTATGTAACTCATTGTCCTGTGACTTAATAAAGTAGTGCGAACGGCTAACTGTTCTCAATCGGGCATTAGGTTAAGGTAAGGCTAACTGATATCGTCTCAAAGCAAAATTGATTATTGGCTTCCAAAGTTAAATGGGTTACTTGCTCTTGAAAGCAAACTTTTTTGTGGGATTTTTCCTGGACTAAAGCTAATAAACCCTGACAGAATCAACAACCATACATTGTTAAGCACGATCTTTTTAGAACAAAACAAATGCATAGGAACCAAAGTTTACTTATAAAACCTTGTTTGCAACAATTTGAATTTTTTCACTGTGCGGCAGTGTTTTAGATACGTAGTGGAATGCAAATGATAATCGCATATGCGGGAGTCGTAAGCGTTTGATTGGTTGGGTTTTGCTGCCCGGCCACGGTCTCTAGACTATGGAGAACGCGGAATTGCCAATACTGACAAGGACGAATTTATTGGGTCTCATCACGAACGTAATAAGTGTAACTTTTATTTCCTTCCCAGGGAGATTACAGTATTTTTGTTCTTCTTAAAACTATCTTTGGGTTTAAAACTATCCTTAAGGTTGATTATCTACAAATGTAAACAAATTAAATTCAAATGCTTCAAAGCAACCTTACTTTCTAATATACAGAGTGTCACCTAATCCTTAGAGGGGATGATAGTACACACGAAAACAAGAAAGTTATTCCTCTATCATTTATGCATTAGAGGTACTGACCTATGCTATATATTGTTTTTACCTCTAAAAACAATAATATTATTCATCCAAGCAAAAAAGAAACAGGTATGCGGACAGTGTATTATGTAATATTAAGCAAACCCTACTGACAGTTCGGTTGGTATTGTGGTTTCACTGGGGCTACATGAACATGAACGTGTACACATTAGAACAACTGCAGCGGCAGATGAAATTCAAAATCATCTGGATATGATAGCAAGAGCGAAATGTCATAATTTTCTACGCCGCTGTCAACTTTGTGTGGATAATAACAGCGGGATAGTTGAACATTTATTATGATTTTGTGGAACACTTAAAAAAATAGCTACATGAGCATCAATCTACGTATAAGTGGAAGGTGAAATTTAAAATCGACGGGAAAACCACGGAAATCTCGAGATACCTAACAATAAAAAGTAAGTATTGTTTTATTCAAAGTACTTAAAAAAAGCTGAGTATGCAACAAAAAACAATTATCAACAAAATAATCAGTGATAACACAAATGTAATTTTTTAAGGAATGTAGATTATTGCCCACTGTGCAATCGTATTTTGCGTCAGTTGTAATAGGCCAGGAATAACCAGTGGCGGCCCAAAATGTCTACTTTACTTATAACAATTTTATTGAATTTTTTATTTAAAAAAATTGGCACTAATGATAAAGGAAAAATCTAAAACTAAACATTGTTTTACTTTAATTTACATAAACCTGTCCTAAAATTGTTTAAAACTATCCACCTGGTTTTTTAACACCAAACTTTTTATTTACCCCCACAAGAAAAAATGTAAAGGGCTTAGATCCAGCGATCTTGGCGGCCATGCGTTTAGTACTTCACTGGTTATGAAACTGTTTATTCGTAAATTCCATAACTAAGATAGTTGAGTGGAGAGATGAATTTTTCGTTTGCGTTTGTTTAACATAAACAATGGGATCCGTGGGCATTGCGATCCGGACTTTTATTGTTTAAGGTGTTTCCGATGCTAATTAGATCTCGTCTATGATCGCGAAACACCTGTACGTACCTAACGTACCTACGTAGCTCTGTCTTATTATACGCCTTTATGTTTTTTAGATTTTCTATCGTTTTAAAACAGCACTTACAAATCGACAAAAAAATCACCAGCAAACACAGTGTCACTCCCAAATTGAAAGGTTTCTGTTCTCTCTGGCAATGCAGTCTCCAGAATTCAAACTCACGACCTAACCCAACATCCACCCCATCCGAAAAGCAGGCAGCACCTCTCTTCAAGTTTTGAACTGGTCTCCCCGCCACTGACGGTGCAGAGCACCACCTGAGAGCGAAGCTGCAAGAACGTAGCCACAGAATCAGGATTGCCATGCATCCGCACGCTAGATTCTCTCTGTTGTTGCGCGAAGACGCCTGTAGACACATCGTGCGTCGCTTGTTCCTCCTGTTAGAGGTTTGTTGCCATAGCAATGATTAACGAGATAGTTTTAGTGGTTGTGTTTTGGGCTCGAGTGTTTTTTTTTGTGATGAACTTTGTGACACATTTCATCTTATCAAGGAGTTTAAAGACCAATGACTTACATGTAAGTAATATGAATTCTATATCTATATAAAATGAAATTTTTGTGTTTGTTGGTATTTTAAACTAAGATAGTTATTTTTGCCATATGTCTTTACATATCAAGATTGTCATCGAGGCAAAAAAAAACAAAAAGGCACCATAAAAGTTTAAGTGTAAAATTATTGCGAAATTCGCTCGAATAAACAAACGGAATAAAAAGTTTTATATTTATTTAATATGCTCGATAAACAGCTCAACAAGTTTATCACACTGCAAAGTGACTTGAAAACAAGCGTTTTAAGTGTGCTGAGATTTTAGTTTTTCCCTAATTTAGCAGTATATTTACAACCTCTTCTCGCGAAGGCAATAAACATGAATGTCGTTTATGAGGAGGATAAAATAATTTATTACGAAAATAAATAAAAAGCGGTCCAGCATCATTCCCGTGTGTGAGGACATAATTAGAGCAAGAGCCTCTGTGACATGAACGACCGGACAGATATGAAACCCGTTTCATTTTTAAGCTGATTTACTATCTAGGAATTAAACTTCTATAATCTCTATAATCCCAAACAACATCCTTCTCATTATTTCTCATTACATATCTCTTATGTACTATTTTATTATTATTAATATTATTACCATTGTGAAATTCAATTGTTAAATTGTTGACAAATAACTTTAAATAAAGTGATCAAGAAAATGAATTTCGTTAACACTTTTTACTTGTTATAAAACTTTATATTTTTTTTATACCTTTTATCACTCTTGACGTATATATGCTGTGAGAAGATATCTATGGATGCAAATTGCAGTTTTAATTTAATAAATATAGCTTACATAGAGAGTCATTTATCCATAAGATCCTAGTTAAGCTCATTTTTTAATATCAGTTCTTAGTGTAGCTGAAAAACCATACTAAACAAATTTTTACAGTATACTGTAAAAATATAGTTTTTCCTACAATTGTTTTACACTGATAAAAAAAATTAAATAATGAATCATGTATAATGTTTAAATGTTCTTATGTTATTGTATATTTTTTATGTAAATTATCGTTGTGTAACTTTACATGATTAAATGTAATATTCCAAAGTTAAAGAAAAATTATAATTTGTATACAATGTAACTTTAATGTTGTTCAAAAAGTATTTTTAATATAACATACATACCAAAAGTATTTTTTACATATTTGCTAATGTCTTTTTACATTTGAACTACCGCAAAGCAAAGGGTGGTTTCTCCAGACAGATTATAGTTATTGTAAATTTTCTTCGGCAATTAGCTAAATACATAAAAAATAATTAAAAATTGCCTTCGAAAATATACAAGAACTTTACGCTGTCCAAAGTTACCCGCCCTATTAAATATTGTTTAATTTTTTTTCTTGATAAAAAATATTTTTTATAATATGTATATTTATATAATGGTGCCCGCTAATTACTTAATAATGCACAAACATGAATTTTGGATAGGTATATTTGTTTTTGTAGGAATTAATAAAAAAAGTGTTTGGTTTTAAACAATTTTAATAAAACATTTTTCGATTTTACATACTATATAATATTATTATTCGAGATGGGATTTCAGTGTTATTACCTATTTGTCTACGCTAATCATAACTTTAGGTGCAATGGAATAAAATCCGTTTTGAAGAAAATGATTTCATTTGAGCCTGATTTTATTTTACCTAAATTTTAATTTTTAAGAGAAATTTTTACAAATTACTTTTCTATGGTATTTTTTGGAAACGTACTCTCTAAAAATGAATTAGGGGACATCCATTAATTACGTGAGATAAAAATAGGGGACGAGGTTTCTAGCAAAATCTCACGAAATCTCATGTTAAGGGAGGGGGGGTCATTAAAAATCTGACGTCAACTTTTGGGTTTAAAGAATATGTATTATAATTCAAATTTTTCAAAAAAAAGTAATCAGTTTTCCAAATTATCAGAAAAATGCCTCACGTAATTAATGGATGTCCCCTTAGTCAAAAATGACTAATTACTACAGTTATTAGTGACTGATTTTTCACTTATACCATGGTTAACCACGGGATACCATGGTATCCCAATATTTAACAGCCAATTATTATCTAAAATGGTCCCCTGAATCCGAAAATTCCGCCAAAAATTTTAAAGTAGAACAGTTTTTGAGATATAGTCAATTCCATATTATATGTAAACTTTACTATATCTTAAAAACTGTTTTACTTTTCTAACTTTTGACGACATTTTCTGATTCAGGGGACAATTTTACA